GAGAGAGAGAGAGAGAGAGTTGAAGAGCCCAGGTGCCCAAATACCACCATTAGAGAGCAACTCCTTTGTCTTAATCTGATGAATGAAAGTAAAGTGCTCAAAGAATGGGACCAAGAGGAATGAGACTTACTGGAAAATATAAGGATGGACGTCTGGAATCGGGGTAGGCCTGATGGGACATTTGGGGGAACCTCGCTCAGAGGTGTCCTGGAAGGCAGCACAGAGATGCAACATGGTGTGGCGAGAAAAGGATTCTAGAGATGTGAGTTTTGGCTCGGGGTGGTCCACTGCATTGCTGTGTCCCCAGGCAAGTTACCTGCCCCATCTTGACTTCCCTGTCCTCCCATAAAAAGAGGAGTTAGATGAGATGCTAACATCCTGTTCCAAGACCCTGTGACCCTACCTTCTGTTAGCAGCTGCGACAACAGAGAGGGGCTCCCTCTGTTCGTGCTTTCCCACTCCAGCTGGGGCAGTCATGATGGCTGCAGAGGACACTGCTGGGATGAGTCCTGGGCGATCCCTCCACTGGGGTCCCATATCCCCTGCCCATGACTGGCATGCTCCCAGGTGGCCTGTCTGCCCACAGCTGTCTCCCACCAGCACAGTTAATTTGCTGCCATTTCTAGGAAGTGACAGCAACATGAAGCAAAGCAATTAGGATGAAAAAGAGGCCCAGCTGCTTGGGGCCAAAGGAAAATAAACAGACCAGCCCTGTGTGTATTCCCCCGCCAAGAGGAGCAATTCTTCACAGAGTGATTACCACTTCTAATTCCAGCCTCCTCCCCTCACTGAAGGCAGAGCAGTGACCTACCAGTTGCTGCTGTTCTCAGATCTCACTCTTCCCAGAGCGTATGGCAGACCCGACAGCTCATCACCTCCTCATGAAGGTCTCCCCTAATTATCTGCCCACCCCACCACTGCAGAAAGGATACCCTCTGCTCTGAAATCTAACAGCCTCTAGAGTTTTTCCTTTGATTATTGGATCAACTCATTCATTCTTCAAACATCCATTGAGCACCATTTAGTCAATATTTATCGAGCCTCTACTGTGTTCTAGTCATTGTTCCAGGTCCTGGCTGAGACAGCAACAAATAGACAAAAATTTGTTTCCTCATCAAGCTCAGTTTTAGGAGGAAGAACAGACACTAAACAAGGTAATATGGCATGGTAGGCAACACTAGGTACTATGGGGGAAAGTGAAGCAATAAAGGGGAGTATGGAATGTAGAGAAGGAAGAGGTAGATGTAAGTGGGGTGGTCAGGAAGGGCCTCAGAATGAAAGTGACATCTGAGCAAAGGCTTGTGAGGTGGGAATGAGCCAGGCAACTACATGAGGGAGGTATACCTGGCAGAGGGACACCACGCAAGGGCCCTGAAGTGGGGTGTGTCCCATGTGTTTGAATTACAATGAGGCTGGGGGACAGTGGTAAGAGAAGTCAGAGAGAAAATGGGGCAGGGGATCCTGAAAGGACTTTGGCTTTCACTCAAGTGAAATGAGGAGCCACTGGTCTGGCTGGCATGTCATTCTGGCTGCCACATGAGCAGACTGAAGGGGGGCAAGCAGAGAGGCAGGCCCTGGGTCAAGTGTGAGAAGGTCTGGCTTCTTCTTTTGCCTGTCAAGCAGGCTGTATAAGCGGAACAGGATAATTTTGAGAGAGAGGGCAGCTAGGACATCCAGACGCTAAACTCCCAGAGTCGAGGAGAGTTTGTGGACAACTGGAGAGAGCTCCAGAGAGTTGGGCTGCAGGGCTGTGGAGGAGGTTCAGGAAAATACTCCTTGCTGCATTAAGCTGTGTGTGTGTACGTGCACATGTAGATCTCTCTGGAAGGACAGATTTCTCATAGTGGGATCTTTGGGCTGGGACAGAGAGATTTCCTTACCTGTAAACCAGGCATGGTTACAATCCTTGCCACGCGTGGTGGATTGTGGGGGGAACAATGGAATCTGAACTTCAAGGCCAGAGAAGGTGGGCTAGATTACGAAAACTTCCTCCACACTTCATGAGGAGGGAGTATCTGTGAAAGTTCAAACACACCTCAGGGCCTTAACCGGTCATTAACACCCTCTGGAGTGGCCCATTAGTCTTCTATCTAGATCCTAAGGCAAAAGAACCCAGGAAAGTGAATTTCCCTATCAGAGGAGGAGGGAAAGGGCTGGGTCCAGGCATGCAGATGACCTTGAAGAAATGGAAGTGCAGAGAGAAGGTAATGGAGGGGAGAGTTAAGGAGACAGGTAGAAACACTGTGTCCATTTTAGAATGTCAGCCAAGCAAGGAGGCAGCAACAGAAAATAAGCCCTGGGTTCAAAGCCAGGCTCTGCTACTTCCTAGTTGTGTCTCTTAAATCTCATAACCATTGAATGTTTTGGGGTTTATTTTTTCCTTTAAGAGGGGAGTGGGAGTGTTGCCAAGCTACCTATCACTTAAAATTCTTACAAAGCTTAAGTATGTCAACTGTGTAAAAGCTGTAAACATTGCATTATTACTGCATAAAAGACATCTCAGAAAAGGGCTGCTCTGGATCAAGGAATGACCAAACCTCAGGAGCCAGCAGGCCCCATCTGGGCTGGTCCATGCAACCAGCTGCAAAAGCTGACTAACACAAAGCTGTATGGATCAAGAGAGCAAATGAGCTGCTAGATCTCAAGATTGCAAGTCTCAGGGTGGTCAGCACTGAGCTCTGCTAAGCAAAGAGATCACGCTGTACTGTTCAGTAGGCAAAAGGAGGACTGGCTGTCCTTTCAATGTCATCCTGGGGCAGAACTGAACAGCTAAGAGTAACATTATTCTTTCGGGAAATGTACCTTTGTTTTACAGTTTACTACTGATCAGGGTTCTGACTTTGTGAACTTATATTCTAACATGTAGCTGCACGTACAAGTATGTAAAGATGCAAAGGATTTTAGTCCAGTAGAGAACCACAAAATTTATGGTTTTATTGCTCTGTAAGACATTAACCAGCTTCATTTCTTACCTTAGTGAACTTATTTTAGTATGTCTCTTCCAACTAAATATACAAGTCTCTGTCTCTAATGATCCTTTGATGAACCAGCTTTACCATTCCTCTGGTTCTTTTATTAATGAGTTAAATAAATCTTAGACATAAAAATTATACTTTGACAAAACCCCAAAGTGAGGACTCTGCCATACTCTGGGATGGGCCAATGGCTGTGAGCCAGCCACTTGGCCTCTGAGCCTCATATATCTCATCTTCCACAAGGAGATTGGTACCCAACTCCAGGACTGAGGTAGGCTGCAGTGGGAAGAGGAAGGTGAATGTACTTTGCACAGGATGCAAAAGTCAGGATTTATTGTGACTCATCACATTAGACTACTCCAGGGCTAGAAGGTCCCAGGCTTCTGAAGGCAGCAAGGCTTGGGACACAGGTCAGGGGAAAGGCAGCTAGGGTAGCCCTGATACTAGAATCCATGTCCAGGGGGTACCATACTGATGCTTCATTTTCCACTTGTGATGAGGCCAGGATTTCCCATGGGCCTCAGATCCTGGAGGATGAAGACCATTCAGGACCACTTGGAAAAAGTCTGCCCAGGGGCTTGGAAAGGATGGAGGACTGGGGTGGGCATCTGACCAGGAACCAGGGTGGGGGTATTCTAAAGGTGGGATAGTAGTCTTTATCTAACACTAGGTCCCTAACTAGTGGCCTCTATGACCTGGAATCTTTCAGGACCTCATCGTATTACTGTGTAGGTGGTAAAGTGCCCCAGCTCAGTTGGCAGCACAATAGAATCTCTATCTTTGTTATCTACATACTTGTATGACTGCGTGCATGTGTGCACATGTACACACACACACACACACACACACAAATGATGTCAGTCAGGGGTCCAATAAGCAATGTAGGCAGCTAAGGTCAGGAACAGTCAACCCTGCACAGAGAAGATGGGTACAGAGCCAATAGAAAGAGGGAAAGGAAATGCATTCCAGGCACAGGGAATAGCAGGAGCAGAGGCTAGGAGGAGAGAATTAACCTGTAGAATGTGGGGAAAGATAAGATGAGGCAATGAGACCTGTAATCATGAAGCTAATAGTCCACTGTCCCTGGGGTGATGGCAAAAAAGGGAGCGGGCAAGGGGCTTACACCTGGGTTCTCCCCTGCAGGTCCACATCCAGGTGCAGTTCAGTTATTGTCTCTACAAGCCAACCCAGCCTTTTCCTCTCCCCAAATGCCTCCATCCATGGCTGCTCTGCCTTAAAGCCTGGGTTCACAGAAACTCTTTCCATCTGCTTAAGCCTTCCCCCATCACTCCTCTTCTGAGATCTCACTGTCTCCACCATATGAACCTCCCCTTTCATCAGCTAATATCCTGACTGTCTTCTTCAGAGTTAGTATACCTTCCTTCCTGGAGTTACATACGGTTCCTCTCCCTAATATCCCTTTGCCCTAATTTGTTTAGTACTTTGTTTTATTATATTGTGGGGTTTTGTTTTGTGGGGGGGGGGGGGTTGCATGTTGTCTTCAACCCTTTGTGGACCAAGACAAGTATATGCAAACCTTGTGTTGTCCTGCAAATGTTCTGTTAAGAGTGCGTTTTTCTGGGCTAAATTCTAAGCTTTGTGGATACCTGTCTGGCAATTACAGACTACATCAGGGCAAGCACTGTTCTGTGTACACAGTAGTTACCTAATTCTTGCCTAGTGATTGACAGTTTGATTAACATCACTCAACCCACTCCTAGCCATGCTCATTACTGGCCCATTCACAAATCTAGATCATAGACATCCCACTCCCTTACCCCTTCCACTGACATTGTGACCCACCAGATCTGAGCAGAACCCAAGTAATTTGAGGGCTCAGACCCCAGCATCGTCATTGCTCCATGAGTTTCTTGGCCATGTTCACACTATCAGAAGACAGGAGATCCGGACGTCTCGATCAGGGAGAGAGAAGCTCCCGCCACTCCTAAAGGCCAGCCTCATAGACTCAGCCATTGCTCAGGGTAGACTCAGGGGGTCGTCCCCTCCTAAAGCCCAGCCCAGGAGTCACAGTTCAGGCGTTGACAAAGCCAAAGGCCCAGGGACTCCAGGAGGCAGCCTCAGGAGAACGGTCTGCAAGGAGCCGGGCCGTGGGAAGCCCGCCTTTTCCCTGAGCAGCCGCCACATGCTGCCCTCGATGGCATAGAGCAGTGTGAACATGCGGTTGACAGTATAGACGGTGTCGCCACGCACCACCGCCGTGAACAGTGCTCCCTTGCTGTTGACAAACTGGCCGGGCAGTGAGGTCCACTGGCCCGTGGCCAGGTTGAGGCAGTCGATAGCGCAGTGTAGGAAGTCATCTGATGGTCCGTTGCGCACCACATAGAGGCTGTCACGGTGGGCCACCATGAAGTGGCCATAGCTCTGTGGGCGCTGCAGCTCGGCCACCGGCAGCCACGCGTCGGTCTGCACCGTGTACTCCACCACAGCCGTGGTGTCTGCCGGCCGCCAAAGACACACGAATAGGCGACCACATGCCTGGGCGCAGGGCACACCGGCAGCCGGCTGCGGCAGGTCTGCCACGAAGCTCCAGCAGCCGGCAGCCGGGTCGTAGCGCTCCACGGAGCTCATGGGCGTCCTCTGGAACTCGCCCCCGATGGCGTAGAGACAGCCATCGAAGCCCGCCAGCACCGTGTCGTAGCGCGGCTGGTGCGGGCTGGGGAACTCGCACCACGTGCCGCCGTCGGGGTCGTAACAGAAGCCCAGGTCCACCACCTCCTTACTGGCGCCCCGCACGCCCCCCACGATATAGAGCTTGTTGCCCAGCGTGGCCACGCCTGCCAGCAGCGTGCTGGCCTCCAGGGGCAGGGCGGCCAGCGTGCGCCACGCGTTCTCCTCCTCATCCAGGTAACACACCGTGCGCGACTCGTCTTCCAGGAAGCCGGGCGCCGGCGTGTGCGTGCTCACGGCCACGTAGCTGCTGGGCCGCAGCGCCGCCACGTAGGCGCGGGCCTCGGGCAGCGCCAGCTCCGCCGCCAGCTCGTGCGTGCCGTCGCGGATGAAGAGCGCGGCGCTGTGGAACACGTCTCGCAGGCCGAAGGCGGCGGCCGCGTCGCACAGCAACGCGCAGTTGTCGGACGTGAGGCTGTGCTCCAGGAAGCGCGCCAGCGCCGGCGCCTGCAGGAAGGCGGCGCACTCCACCGCCTGCAGCAGGTCGTCGGCGGCCGCCAGCGCCGGCCGCTCGCCGCGCAGCACCTGCAGCGTGGTGCGGAAGCCGCCGGGGCTCAGCGCGCCCAGGCGCACCTCGGCCGCGCGCGCCTCCCTCATGCCGGAGCGGAAGAGGCCGCAGAAGAAGCCGCAGTGCTCCACCAGCAGGGCCCGCTCGGCTTGGAAGAGCTGGCCGCCCACCCACACCTGCACCGGGACCTCCGCACTGTGAGGCATGGCGAGCCGGAGGGCGGAGGCCGCCGCTGGGGGCCTGGATTCAGCGGCCACCGACTCTGGGGCTCCCCCGTAACGGAAAAAAACACTTCCCTGGGATATAAATATATCCCTGGCTAAAGATAGTATGGCTCATGTGATGCGGTGGCTAGCAGGTTGCATGGTCCTGGGCCCAGAGGGCATCCAGAGACCTGCACGGTCACTCAGTCCCTTAAGGGAAATGACAATAGTGACCATGTACTGAGCACCTACCTCTGCATGCTGGGCACTATGAGTGATGCTTACAAAGATATCCCATGTAACCTGCACTAAACACCTGTATGCCCTTGTGCAAGTACCCTAACTCTCTGATCTTTCCTTAAACCGGGGCCAATGATACCTCTTTCATGGTACAGGTATCCCCTGCTTTTAGAAAATTTGCTTTATGCCACCGTTCTTTCTTGAAAGACCCACATTACTAGCTCTTTTTACTAACTAAAAGAAAATTTGAGCCCTGGCCGGTTTGGCTCAGCGGTTAGAGCGTCGGCCTACGGTCCAGAGAGACAGGGGTTCACTTCCCGCTAAGGGCAGGTACTTCGTTTGCAAGTTTGTCCCCGGCCCTGGGGCCCTGGTTAGGTCGTGGGGGTGGCAACCACTCGATGTGTCCCTTTCACATCGATGGTTCTCTCTCTCTCCCTCCCACTCTATCGGAACAAAATATGGAAAAATGTTCTCGGGTGAGGATTTAAAAAAGAAAAAAGAAAATAAAAAACAGCGTTCAGTGTTTTGCAACCAGTCTTTGTAGAGGCAGCTTGCACCCTGAGCAGCTGCAAGAGTGGCCCCTCCAAGCTCCTTCCCTGAGAACTACACTCAGCATTTCAATATTAAGCCACCATAACTCTGAACTATGTCTGTGAGCATTTATTATCCATTTATTTTCTGCATCCATTAGCAAGATGTGTCTTAAGGTAATTGCTTCTTCGCTTTAGGCCATTTCGATTTACAAAAGGTTTTGTAGGAACGCTCTACTTTCAGATAATTGGGGGGGGGGACCATACTGGGACCATTTCTGTAAAGTATTCAGAATGAGACTCAGTGAATATATTGTGACTTGTTCAGGATCATTCAACTGGGAAGAAGCAAGGACAGGATTAATACCTAGACCACCTGATCAGCTGGTAGCAGCAGGGAGTACTTGGGCACTGGAGGGAGGAGGCAGAGGTAGAACAAATAGAGTGAACCATGCTGAGGTCTGAAGCTTTAATTTGGTCTGGGCCCTGACTCTGGGCTAGTTCAATCTCATTTTGAGCCTGGATTTTCTTCTCTGTGGGAGAGTTGCCCTGGCTGGTTTGGCTCAGCGGTTGGAGTGTTGGCCTGCGGTCCAGAGAGACCCAGGTTCGGTTCCCGCTAGGGGCGTGTACCTTGGTTGCAATTTTTCCCCGGCCCTGGATGGGTTGTGAGTGTGGCAACCACTCGATGTGTCCCTTTCACATCGATGTCTCTCTCTCTCTCTCTCTCTCTCTCTCTCTCTGTCTCCCCCTCCCACTCTATCTGAACAAAAAATGGAAAAATGTCCTCGGGTGAGGACAAAAAAAAAAAGGGAGGGTAGCAGGTGTCCAATAAGTCCCTGAATGTGGAAGTACTTCCTGATGGGATAGGAATGGGAAGCTGATGTCTGTTTTCCCACTTGCCAGCTCTCCTCCACTTCTGTGTCTCTGAACCTTAGGAAAAGGAAAGTGGGGCTGCTGACCATATATCTGTGGGTGAGAAGGAGAAGGCCTTCATTTTTTAAAATCCTCACCCAAGGATATTTTTCTATTTATCTTTAGATAGAGTGGGAGGGAGGGAGAGAGAGAGGGAGAGAGACACATCAACTGGTTGCCTCCCACACGACCCTGACCAGGTATGTGCCCTTGGCCGGAATCAAACCCAAGACTCATTGGTCCGCAGGCCAACACTCTAACCCCTGAGCCAAACCGGCCAGGGTGAGAAGGGCTTCTTGAAATAATAATAGTTGACACTTAAATTGCACTATGTGTCAGACACTTTTGTAAGCACTTTAATTCCTGTAATTATTGCAATAATTCCATCAGTAAATACTATTTTCCCTCATTTAATAGATAGTATCCACTTATTGCTTATAGCAACACCATGAGTTCAATATTATTAATAGCTCCATTTCATAGATTAGGAGACTAAGGTACTAAGAGGGTTAGTTACATGCTGAAGGTCACATGGCTGGAAAGTGGCAGAGCTAGGACTGGTATGCAGCCATTCTGACTCTAGAGCATGTGTCCCTAACCACTGTGTCTGCTGTCTCTGCTACAAATGCTGGGCCAGGAGGTCACATTTGAGAGAAACTTCAGGCTCATTGTTTGACCCCTTCATTTATAGTGGAAGATCAGAAAGAGAATTGCTCAGAGTCATTTAGTTTGGGGCAGACAGTCCCAGGCATTCTGCTGCCCAATCCTGGGGCACTTTTCCCACCACACTAAACTTGCTTGAGTTACCAGCTAAGACTCTGGGTCCCAAAATGTCAGTTGGAAGGGAGCTTGGTGATTATCTTTTCCTGCCACCTCATTCTACAGGTTGGGAAACTGAGGCCCAGACCCGTGTAGGATGGTAGCTGCCATTCTGGAGATGTTCAACTACAGGACTTATTCAAGAGGATGGAGAGGCTCACAGTGACAAAGGCAGAGTTGGGGGATGTCAGGAACTTCCCTTCCCCCAGGACACAAGCATGCACAGACCTCATGTATAAATCTGCAGACCCAAAACAAACGTGCCTCCTCTGCCAGGGAACTCCCACCCAGTTCACTACATCAAAGCAGGTCTGGGATGTGGGGACCACTTTTGTGAGCCTGGGAAGCCAAAGGCCTTAAAGAGGCAGCCAGAAATATCCCAGATGCTCTGCCCTAGGGACCAGACAGGAAGAGGAGGAGGAGATAGAAGGGGTGGGCAGGAGTCCCCATGAATACTATCCCAGGCCCTCTACCAGCTTCTCTCCATCCCTAAGGCCAGACATGGGCTGACAGGGAGCAGTTGTGACAATCTCCCTCTTGGAGGAGAACAGCTCGGCAGTGTCTAGTCTTAACTGTCCTTGCTAGTGGGCCCAGAGGTAGGATGAGGGTATTTTACTATTCCCATTTCACAGATGAGGAAGGGGGGAGGGGCCCAGAGATGGGAAGGACTTTCCCTTATTTATGAACGAAGACATGGAACTGCATTGAATCCTCTCCACTGATCCCAGGTCCCAGCCCAGATGCCTCTCCTCATCAGCACTAGCCTGTCTCAAAGGAGAGAAACTGCTGTCTCCAGACTCAAGCTAAGAAGTGGGGTTGGGTGGGGCTTATCCCCAGGGGGCCACAGTTTCCTCCCAAATGGCCGGTTTCAGGCACTTAGTAACTGGCAGACACAACCAGATGGAGCCACTGCCTGAACCTCTCCTGAGAGCAGAGGAAAAAGGAGAGCAAATCCCTCCTGGCTGAAGCTTGCTCCCAGTCTCAGGTTTTCCCAAGTCTAGCCCTGACTTGAGTGAGTTGGGACACTGGTGCACACACCCAGCTCCCACCTTCAGGTGGTGGGGAGGGAGTCACCCAAGGTGGGGATTGTGGTTCTGAGGCTGGGCTGAGGAGCAGGTCTTTAGCTGTGTAAGACCCCAGTGGGGTGTTGTCTGCAGCTGGTGAGTTTCCTCCTCCCAGACAGTGAGTGTCCCTCTGGGACTTGGAGAGGACAAGGAACTATCCTGGTTGTGGGCAGCCCACGGAGTTCTCAGGCCCTGCCTGACCTCACACCAACCTCCTTCTCCACTTTGCACTCCCCCACTCTGTGCAAGGTTGGGGCAAGGAAAGGGGTTATGTGTCAGACTTTCTGAGCCTTTCTAGAGCATACACTCAGCCTTTTTTTTGGGGGGGGGTCTCTATCCACAATGATTGGCCCACAGTAAGGGTCTGTAAAGTGGACTCCTGGGTGAACCTAAGTAGGAGCCCCCAGTCTGATGGAGGAGACACAACCCCATTTCAGTAGAAGTTCCAGTCTGATGGAGGAGACATAGCCCTTGCCCTGCGAGACACCCCCCCCCCCCTGCAGACTGATGGGGGACCCCTGGCCTTTGCTGTCCTTGGTGATATTTCTGCACACAAGGTAGTGAGGAGCTTGCCTGGACCTGAAGAAGGAAGAACACTAGACTAGGAATCAGGATTACTGATGGACTCTGGTGCTGGAACTATCATTGACTTGCAAAAACTACCCAACCTCTCTGGGCCTCAGTTCTTCTTCTGTAAAATGGAACTTTGTATCTGACTTCTAAGGTTCTGTTCAGCTTTGACATCTGAATTTATTGTGCCTCCAGAGAATGCAGTGATATCACAACAAGTTCTCAAAAGCTTAGCTTTCTGTGGAATGGCTCCTGGGGGGTGGGTGGCAAGGGTAGGACCTGGCATCCAGAAATCTTCACAGGCCCTACCTGTCTAGACCTGTACATGCCCCACTCATCCACTCCAGAGACATCTGTTGAGCACCTGCTACATGCCCACTCCTAGGCTGGGTGCTACACCCTATGTACATTGAGTACTCGAGGGCCCCATGTAGGAGCCTCAAATAAGGTTTGGCTACTGCCCAAGCAGAATAACCTTTCTCTTGACCTGAAGTGTCCAAACTTATGGTCACCAAGTTTGGCTTCTTGGTAGGTTGGTGAAAAGTGTGTGCTATTCATGTCTAGGGGGAGTGGAGGGAACTATCATTTGCTTTTTTGGGCCATGAGCCAGGCTCTGTGTGGGACTCTCATGTCATCTCATCTAATCCTTAATATTACCCCTATTTTAAAGATAAGGAACTGAGGCTCAGAAGGGCAAAGTAGCTTATTCCAGGGTCTGACATTAGGTGGTTATTCCAAAGGCCTTTGCATTCCACCATGGCACTTCGTGGTGCTGGACAAGAAGCCTACAGATGAGGAGCCCGAGGATGAGAAAATGGAATGGTTGCAGTGGTGAGGTCTTCAGTTTTCCTCTCAAGGCTCCAAGGAGGGGCCGACTTTGGGCACTTAGCAGTCACAGCTGAGGGCCTGAGTAATCAGCCGGCAACTGGTTCAAATAATCTCTGAACTGGAAGAGAATTAAGGGTCATCTCATCCCATCCTATGAGTCATGATGCAGTCTCCTCTACAACGCTTCCTTGAAGTGGTCACCCCTTGCTTGCCTTCAGTGTTGGGGGGGGGGTGTTCAGATGGTTAGAGCTTACCCTCACAAGAACCTGCCTCCTTGTAGCTCCCATCTACTTTTGATCCGAGTTTTAAAGATAAGGAAAGTAACTCCTCCAGCCTCACACAAGCAGCGAAATAGCAGAACCCAAGTTTACACCCAGTTGGGCCTGTAGGGATCCACAGCTTGCCCTCTCTCTGGCAGCCCTCCAGTGAGACTGGTTTCTCTTCCCACAGACCCCATTCAGAACCAGTCTGTCCTCACAGGACTGGAGCCGGCCCAAGGGATGTGCCTGGAACTTGGCTCCCACTCTCTTTCCTCCTACAACTCAGGAAAACCCTTGGCCATTAGCTCTGTGAGCAATTCTAGTCTGAGGGTGTAATCTCAACAAATTCCTTCCAACACCTTAGAGTTGTAATAACACAGCTGGTTTACCATGATCTCCCAGAAACACAATTATGCTGTCAGTATTCATGTCCTGTGCTGGAAAATAATTTTCCTTCTTGGTTGAAGAGTATTACCATCAGGCGCTCACTTGCTCTCTTTGTCTCTCTCTCACACACACTGCTGACCTGGGTTTATGGCTTCTTTTGTGCATGGTAGGTAGATTAGCTGGGGTGGTGGCAGGGGAGGTAGGGGTTGGGGGAGAAGGGCTGCAGTGAGAGGTCTCTGACTCCCATCCCCTCCCCCACTCTAGCCTGCACTGTATTCCAAAAGAGAGTCCCCACAGAATTCTAGAGAACCCTCAGGCCTGGAGCCCAAGGCTGATTCTGTCACTCTCTGTTAGGCCCAAATCACATCATGGAATTTTGAATTTAATCCCCACCCCTTTTTTTTAGTAGTATAGATGGGGGTGGGGAGCCCAAAGAAATGAGGTGACTTGCTCAAGGTCACCCAGTGAAGGAGCTGGCACTAGATCCTAAGTGTCTGGATTCCCCATATGGGCCCTTTGCCCTGTCTCCAATATGACCAGATTTACCCTGTGTCCCAAGGGGAATGATAGGTGACCCCTGCCAGGCTCATCCACCGATCCCTGAATTATTATAGGCAGGAAGGAGTGCCAGGTTTTAGGACAAATAAAACGCTCCATTTACACACTAGGACACAAACACATGCAACTCATTAGCTCTGATCAAGTAGCAAAGAGTAATGCAGGATGGGTTAGGTTTCTTGAAGCTGGACCCATATTGGCCATGAAATATTAGTAAGGTGGTCTCATCCACCCCCTTTCAGAAGCCTGGGTTCTGCCTGGGTGCTGCAGTGATTGATGCCTGAGACTCTCCACAAAGGCAGGGTGATGCAGCCCTGGAAATTGTACCAAGACCGGGCTAGCTGTGACCTAGAAAAAGGGCATGGCTTGGAGTTGAACCCAGCATGCTTCCCAGAGGAGGAGGCAGGAGCAGCTGGGTAGAACAAAGGGAGGGATGGATTTTCTTGCTGGAAGAAGAGATTGAGTGAAACATACTTCCTCTCTATCTCCCTTCCCAGGGCCTCGCTTTCTCTGGTCCCCGTCCTTCCCCGCAGGATCTGGGAGCGCCCCGACAGTGACAGCGCCCCGACCTTCGAGGCTAAGCTCGGCGGGGTGTTCGGGCTGCTGAGCACCCTCCCTGCGGCGTCTGCGGGGTGAGTGCGCCCCGCGGGGTGCTCCCACAGCCCTTACAAGGAGTTTGGCGGAGCTCGGGGCGGCCCCGCCCGCCGGTCTCCACCGGCCCCTCCTCCCCCTGCTCTGGCCGAGCGGCGGGAACACAGCCCGCTGGGCGCGGGGCCCGGGGCGCGGACACCGACGGGGCTGGGCGGCGAGTGCTGGGGGAGCTCGCGAGTCACCCCCGAGGGCCCTGACCGGCAAGCACGCTGCTTGGGGCCCTTCGGCCAAGGACCCGCGTCCCTCTCCCCAGCGTCGCCATGTCCTCGGTGTTCGGGAAACCCCGCGCGGGCAGCGGGCCGCAGAGCGCGCCCCTCGAGGTCAACCTGGCCATCCTGGGGCGCCGCGGAGCGGGCAAGTCCGGTGAGTGGGGCCGGTGGCAGCAAGGGAAGGGGCTGGGTGGGGACCAGGAGCTGATGAAGGGATCGGGGCGCTGTGGACTTGAGGGCAAACTCTTCCACTGGGTCTGGGGGCTTCCTACACCAAGGTGAGTTGGGCAAAACACCGTGATTTTCTTCTTTGCCTCAGTTTCTTTGTTGCTTGGTGCTCTTTCTGTTTTGTCCTCAGCTCCTCCATCTTTCATCTGTCTTCTGTTCCTTGCCTGGCTCTTCCTCTGTCTCCCTACTGTGTCTGTGACCCCAGCTTTCTCTCCCTTCTGTCCATCTCTGTGTCTCCCAGTCCTCAGCTGGTCTCTCTCTTGTGGCCCCCTACCCCTGTCACCTCTCCCTGGGGCTAGCAGTCAGCTCTGGTAAATGACACCAGAGGGACCTGTTAGGCACCGATCCCCAGCCCTAGGCCCCTGTGAGCTCAGTCATAGCCTTGCTACTCCCCAATTTAGGCTGGAGGTGAAGGAGCCACTGGCCCTTGAAGGGATTTGGTAGAAGTCACTGGCTATTGGGATTTCCGAGGCCACACTCCCTGCTCCCCTCCTCAGTTCCCTGGGATTCAGGAATAAAGTGTGCATTCTTATCAAATGTATTTGTTTCAAGCCAGACCCCTCTCTTGACTTTCTGGAAACAAACTGGACTGTGGTCCCAGGTGCCTGGGACTATCCTTGACAAACCAAGATCTTGGCTTCCATTGAGGTAATTTCTATCAACACTGAACTCTGCCTTCACCATCCTGGCAGCTCTCACTCACCTGGAGCCAAGGCGGGTGGGAGTGGGGCTGTCCCCATAGGTAGAGACCCAGAAGAAGGGTCCAGCCCTCCTCCTCCACTCACAGTCCCAGGCAGCTGAAGGTGGGAGGGGAGAGGGGGCTCCTCCACTGGCCCCTTTCCAATGACAGCCATTAGTAAATGGCCAACATGGGCTTGGTTAGCTGTTGGCTTCCTTCCCCTTCCTTTAGGACTCACTGGGGGCTTCCTCTCCACTTTTGAAGCCAGCCCACTAGCTCAGAGCGGGATGACTCTGAAACCCGTTTTCCTACAGAAAAGGTTTGCCCTCTTCCCTTGGAAAATAAAGTGATTATCTGGAGCTCTGTCACTGGTACAGTTTAGCCAGTGGCTACATTAATAAAGGAATTTAAATTTAAAAATGTGTATTCCCTGGGTATTACTTTGTAAACTGACACTAATAGGAATCTTGGGAAAGAATTTTAAGGATTTTCCTTAAAATATCATGTTACTTTTTAAGAGTTCAGTATAATAGTTGGCTGGCCCTTGGCTTTATGTGGTTCAATTCTGAACACAATCAGAATTCTGTTGATGCATTGTACCTGGAGATAACTTCATTCTAGAATTTTATATTCATCGAGGCACCATCATGAGTTTGGAGGCCCTAGAGCCAAGACTTGAAATGTGAAGAACTGAGGACTAGAGTGTGTTTACTTGGGACACAGATCTTGCCTGGACCTCGCCTGGAAATCCCAGGCCCTCAAGGGGTCATACTGCCCCCAGGGATCACCCACTGATCAACTTGGCTCTAACTCTGTCTTTGGCTTGTAGCCTAAACTGGAATAAATGCCCCACATTTCAAAATCTCTGTGACTTGTCCAGGGTGGGGGATGTCTCCCTTCAGTTGGGGCTGACCCTAAAGTAACTGGTTGCATGGGTCCTGACTCCTTAGTTCAGGGTCCTTGCCTCTCATTGCTTTTCTTGCCATTTAAAAAAAAATCCCAGGATGCAACTGAAGGGACACAGTTCCCCATATTTCTAGTTCTTAACTGTTCAGCTCCCAGCCTCATTCCCCCAGAGACTCGAGCATGGTGTCAGTGAAGGGTCACAGAGGCTAGATAAGGCCTTCCTAAAATGAAAGGGGCAGCCTCCAGGGCCAGCAGCCAGACACATCAGGGGAGACTGAGCCCATTTCTTTCTGCTTCTTGCAGCCCTGACCGTGAAGTTTCTAACCAGAAGGTTTATCAGTGAATATGACCCCAACTTGGGTAAGGAACCACTCCTCCCTGTTCCTCCTGCTGTGCCCTACTTGGGTCCATACCCTCCCCCATCAGACATCTACCCTTGTGGTGGGCCCAGGTGTGACCAGGACCAAACATCTGGAGGCAGAGGGGAGGAGTCACCAGGATGACTCAGCCCAAGGCAGGAAAATGTTTTAATTGTTAGAAATATACCCTCAACAGCCCACCCCAGACAACATGGGGGGTTGACCAAATTCAGAGAGCTGTGTGATTTGCCCTAAAATGTGAGGTATGATGAGCCTTAAAAAAAAAAGTCAAACATAGCAAAACATCCACATCCATTAAGTGTTGTTTTTCAAGATGGTCACTCAGTGTACTTTTCCAGAAAAGCTGGACAGGTCATTTGAGAAATTTTCTAGTGGAACCAGCTTCAGAACTACACAAGAAAACTAGTCTTGCTTTATTAACATATCATGGTAAAGTCGAAAAAGGGATGTTCTGGTGTCAATCAGAGCTGAGTTTGAATCCTGGCTCTGCCACATATTGGCTGTGCAACCTTAAGGTGTCTGTTTCCTTATCTATAAAATGGGCGTAAAAACACTTATCTCAGAGAATTACTGTGAGGATTAAAGAGATAACACATAAAAGAGTGAGCCTAGTACTTGACCCACTGTAGATGTTCAATGTGCATTTGCTTCTCCTCCTTCCTCCTCATATGGCTTCCCATCTATGGTGGCTGAGATTCCCTCAAATTAATCAGATCAGTGTTTGTGAAAACTATTTTTAGCACCAGGACCTTTTCCTCAAATAACTTCTTACATGGAACCCCAATATCTATAACCAATAAAGGCAGACTTTTATTAGTATACACGTAACCTGAAGCTCACATTCATAACATTTATTATTGTAAACCGTGCACTGAGAAAAATGAGTTGTCTGGATCGATTCCCTTTAGAAAATGAAGACTGCTGTCTTGGTTTATTTTCCTGTTCATAAGAACTGAATAAAGCAGTGTGTATCCCCAAGGACCCCCGCGGAAGCCCAGGGCTGGGGGCACAGGTGGAAGGCCGCACAGCACGGGGCTTCCTGCCGCAGGTCAATGCAGGTCAACCGAATGCAAATGCGAATGCGCATGCCCGTGACACCAGAAGGCAAGAACTCCTCAGCCTGTTGGCACCATCAGCCCCTCAGTTCAGGCTGGAATGTTGAATCCCAGTGTCAGAGCAGGAAAGGACTTTAGGCTAATGGTTTTTAGAATGTTTTCCTTGCCCTGGCCGGTTTGGCTCAGCGGTTAGAGCTTTGGCTTGCGGTTCAGAGAGACCCGGGTTCGGTTCCCGCTAAGGGCACGTACCTCGGTTGCAGTTTGTCCCCGGCCCTGGTTGGGTCGTGTGGGTGGCAGCCACTCGATGTGTCCCTTTCACGTCGATGTTTCTCTCTCTCTCTCTTCCTTCTACTCTATCTGAACAAAAAAAAAAAAAAAAAATGTCCTCGGGTGAGGATAGAATGTTTTCCTTGAGTAGCAGACTCCCTTCTGATCAGGAGATTTATCAGTGAATATGATGTCAACTTGGGTAAGGAACCACTTGAGTAAGGAGATCTTAAACAGAACCCCAAGGTGCTGAACAGAAAAATCGGAAGGGCTCTCCTGGTTAAATTAGGAGTGCAAGGCAGGTGACTGGCCAACAGCCCCTTAGGGGTTTGTTCCTGAAAACTTGGTTGGACCACTAGTGCTTTTAATCAACCCCTCCATGCTCCAGTGGAGGAAATAGGCCCAAGGAGCTGAGGCTTCTGGGCCAAGGTCACACAGCAGATCTGAGGAGAGCCCCTTTGATTAGCAATAGTCAGTGCCCATGGGAGTGGGACACAGGATGCGACTGGGTGCTGGCTGGAGGAGGTGTTGGGAGAAGCCAGAACATGAGGTCGGATGGAGTGGGGGGACTGAAGGGGGAGGCCAGGGGAGAAGACAGGAAGGAAAGGCACACAGCAAGAGTGTCTGGGAAGGGAAAACAGGGATTTTCAAGGATGATGCCACAAAACAGATTCTGTCTAGCTCCAGTACTGCATACATATGCTAAAAAGTATTTGCTGTCTATCTGAAATGTAAATTTAACTGGGCATTTTGCATTTTATCTGGCAACCCGCCTCCAGTCTCTCTTCCTCCCTGCCCCCAAGTCCCTACCCTTTGTGCAGGGTCCCACCAGAGGAGCCTCTGACAGTGGGAGTCGGAGCTTCCTGATGAGTAATTTTGGAGTCTGACCTGGTAGTGGAATGCGTGGTCAAACTGTGTGGGGGGCAGCAGCCCCGCAATGGTTAGTCATCCCACCCTGAGCGCCTGTGAGCTGGAGAGATGTCCAGATGCTCTGCCCTCAGCCATTCTGCGAGGCCAGTGCCGCTCCTGGGGGTTCTGTTTCACTGTCGAAACATTATGGCCACTATCCCATGGCTGGTTCCAGCAACAGTGGCGACTCTGGGACCACGGCCTTTCCTTCTATGGAGAAAGGTCTGAGCATCAACGGCAGAGATGGAAATCGGGAGATGGAAAACCATTCTTTCCCCCCTTTCAAAGGTCTTCCAAGGGCTTGAGCTCAAATGGAGCCTCTGGAGGGTGGAACCTGTACAGTTTGTTCCCATTTCCAGCATGGAGCACAATGTTAGGTACAACATAGGTGCTTGTAAACATGAAATTGAATTTTGATTTTAGGATTGTCCTTTAAAGAACAGCTTCTATTATTATCCCCATTTACAGATAGAGAAACTGAGGCAGTGGTTTCCCTATAGTCATGGAGAACCTCAGGTACAAAGGAAGATGAGACACCAAACCGGCAGCCTCATGCTATAGAGGGCCTGGAGTCGGAGGTCTGTGTGGCACTGGGCTCTCTGAGCCTTGGTTTTCCCATCTGGAAAGGTGTGACTAATAGACTATGCTCTGTCTGTGTAAAAGTCGTGCCTTGTTATGGGTTGTGACTGATAGAGCTGGTAGGAGCTGTGAAAGGGCTTTGCCCTGTGCGGAGTGCTGCAGGAGGGCAGGGGTCTCCAGGAGAACATTCTCTTGCAAAGGGCTGGGGTCATCTCTCCTGGCTTGCCCAGGGCAGAATGATGGCTTCTCTCTTGCCCTGATCCTGCTCTAGCAAGGCCATAGGTACCACTTCTGAGGCATCATCCTATGCACACTCTGACCTGAGCTCCTTTGGTGCCTTTTATTGATTGATTGATTGATTTGAGAGAGAGAGGAAGGGAGAGGGAGAGAGGGGCAGAAACATCAATGAGAGAGAACATTGATTAGCCACCTCCTACATGCCCCCCAGTGGGAATCGAGCCCACAACCCGGGCACAGCCCTGACCGGGAATCGAACCAGGACCTCTCACTCCATGGGACAATGCTCAATTCATTGAGCCACACTGGCCAGGCTCCTTTGGTGCCTTTTAAAAAAGTATTACTGCAAATAAGAGAAAAATTCTTTGAGAAAAGAATCTTCTCTCAGCACCAAAGTCCACAGAATATTATTTAGAACTATAAGTTGTGAGGTTCATATATTTAAAGATACCAGAATGCCCTTAGGGCAGAAACTAGGTGATGAAAAGAAAGGACATAACTATGATTTGGAAAGAAGTCCCCAACCCCAGAGTCTCCTCGCTTGCAAAGGAGAGGAAGAGGATAAGAGGACCTCTGAGCTTCTTCAGCTCACACATGCATGTTCCACATCCTCAGCTAGGCTGGGAGCTTCTGCCTTTCCCTGGACTCTGCCCAGTGGAGCTGGAAGTTGACTGGTCCATTGAGCAAAGGTAGTGAAGGGCTCCCAATGAGGAGGCAACCCAGCCTGGAAGACCTGAGTTCAAGTTCCTTTACAGATAGATGTTGTGTGGCAGTGGATGAGTTTCCTCCTTCTCTGGGCCTGGCCTCCCTGTCATCTGTCTACAGTGGAGCTAAAAGCAACCTCAAAAGGCCGTTGTGCTATGAGGGACTACTGGAGACCAGGACCAGCGTTGGGCAGGACATGGTGCCTGTTTGGGAGCAGGAGCTTTGAAGTACCTAAAGGGGGTGCATCAGACAACTTGGGCAGGAAAATCTGAATGAGATGTAAGCATCTAGGGGCAGCTCTTCTTGCACCAAATATAGTTAAACATTTGGGGCATATTTTCCATTAGGTTTTTTGTGTGTCTTTGAATAAGAGTGGCATTTATCCAAGTCCCCAAAGCAGGCTGGGGACGGGAGCTGTCTGTGATTCCTGCTGGCTGCTAGTGGACCTGGCATGTGTCCAGGCCTGGCTTGGCTGCCAGTGGCCCTCAGAAGTATTTGACTCAGCCAGGGTTAGGGGGTTCTCTTCTCATAGCCGCTGCTGCCAGGCAGACAGAGAGGGCCCCAGTTCTGCCCAGAGGGGTCTTCTTTGGGGTCACTTGGGGTACAGGGGCACCAGGGAAAGGTAAGGACCAAGTGCACTCATACATGTAGCCAGTGGCACAGGGGAAGGTTGGGGGTAGGGATAGTGGTTGCCAATATGGCAGCGAGGTCCTCTGTATGCCTGGCCACTTGCTCCCTTCTCAGGTTTGAGGTCATGAGAACTGAAAAAAAAGCAAAAACTCATGAAATGCAAATAAGATCAGTAGTTTAGGTTATAGTATGGTACCAATGCCAATTTCCTGATTTTGATCATTGTATTATGGTTATGTAAGGTGTTCACAGTGGGGGGATGGGCTTGGTGCTCGTGCACACGTGGACAGGTGCACACACGTTTACACAGGGACTTCCCTCGGCCCAGCAGGGGTATGGTACACGGGAACTCTCTGTACTGTTGTACAACTTCTACATAAGTCTGGGATTATTTCAAAATAAAACGTTTAAAAAGTCACCTAGGAATGTGAGCCTGCCCTGTAAACTTCGGAGCACCACGGTCCCCACTGTCCTTTACCAGGCGTTAGTGGAGGGCCAGGGCCCCACCCGGGGCCTATCCAGTTCTCCCACAGCCCAGTGAGACAGTGCAGGGAAAAACAGTTAGCACAGCGCCTGGCACAGGGTAAAAGCTTGAAAACTGTTAGCCGATGTTTAAAACAATGTTCAAAGAGCTGAAATGATTTAATCAACTGACACAGTTAAAAAAGTAGCTGAAGTGGGGTTTGATTCCACATCTTCAACCTAAAACTTTCGACCACTAGACTCCTCTGCTATTATTTTGACAAGGATTATTATAAAACCTCCTTGGGATTTCTAAACAGGGTTCTCCCAGTGGGGGCAGGAGGACTGTCCTTGGGGGCTTCCTGTGGGCCAATCACTGTGGGCGAAGGGGAAGAGGGAGGAGAAGCTTGATGTTCCGGAGGGAGGAGCTGGCAGTGCAGTTCCTGAGGCCTCTGCTGCTACAGGCCCACGGCCACACACTCCATCCTGCTGGTGTGAAGGGTGGACCCAGAACACAATCCTATCCCCGGGGGCGTGTTCTGTGAGTGGCCTCTGCTGCTCTGACAGGTGGAGCAGTATCTCCTTGGTGGGAGGTTCTGCTCATGCCCTCCACGTGGGTGAGAGCCAAGACCTTTGCAGTGGTCCCAGGTCGGCCCACCCTGAACTAGGCACCCCAGGGCTGCACAGGGATCCAGCACAGAGTGAAGATAGGACTCAGACCTAGTCCCTTGTCAACTTAGTGGCCTGTTCTGCCTTTAACCTAGCTGACTCTCTGTGTTGCAGAGGACACCTACAGCTCTGAGGAGACTGTAGACCACCAGCCTGTGCACCTGAGAGTCATGGACACTGCGGACCTGGTAACATTACCCCCATGACAGCTGAGAGTCAGTGCAGCCTCCTGAGAAGTCCTGGCCCCGCAGCGGGGGCTACAGATGGGAATATATATCCCCTTTCAGCTCCCATTTGCTGTGTGACCCTCTCTCAGCCTGAATCTCTTCATTTGCCAAACGAGAAGGGATGGGACGGGGCCTGGGGAAACTTGATGGTTGTGGGCATCAGCTCAGAGATCCTGTGCTCTGGGGCTTGATGCTTGGGCACAGGTGGAGACAGGTGCACACACACGTTTGCGCAGAGAATTCCCTCCGTCCAAGTTCCCCCAATACACACATCTCCCCCATGTTCTCACTACCCCCTGCCAAGCCTGGATGCCAGGTATTCTCAGAAGCCAAAAGGGCACCATGAACCTGACCCAAAACCATCGTTGCGCAGAGACAGCCAGGTCTCGGTAGGGGCCATGCCAGAGTGTTGGCTTGGTGCCTCAGAGGCCAAGGTCTCCAAGTCTCTGGCTGGGTGGTGGGAGGGAGGCTCACGAGACAATGTTTCCTTTCACACCAAGCCAAGTCCACATTCAAGTGCCCCTTTGACAAGGGCTCTGCTGGGAAACAATATACAAAGACCCGGAGAGCAGGGAGGTGGGCTGGGGTAGCTCAGGTGAAGGCCTTTACCCTGACCTCCTCTGTCTCTGACCAGGGCTTCCCTCCTTTGCCCCAGGACACCCCCAGGAACTGTGAGCGCTATTTGAACTGGGCCCATGCCTTCCTGGTGGTATACAGCGTCGACAGCCGCCAGAGCTTCGAGGGCAGCAGCAGCTACCTGGAGCTGCTCGCTTTGCACGCCAAGGAGACACAGCGCAGCTACCCCACTCTCCTGCTGGGCAACAAGCTGGACATGGCCCAGTACAGGTGAGCACGGGGTGTCCCAAAGCTCCGGAGCTCACTTTCCTCACTTGTTGGGTCTTGGTGTCCTCTTCAGGGATCATTTGGCTGCTAAGATCAGTAATCTCAAATTTAAGCAAAAGGGAGTATGTTGTAAGGGTATGATCTTCTAGGCAGCCATGGGCAGGAAGGGAAGGGCATCTGAGCCGTCCAGGGGCTGAACCCTAAAAGTCAGAAGAGAGGCTACTCCTTCCATCCTCATGGGGCTCTGTGGTCTCCCCCGGCCTCACCCTGTTTGTCTGAATCTATATAACCTTCTGTTCCCACTCAGTGCAGCTGGCTGGTCATTCAGTGCCTAATTCCAGTTCTAGGGAGAGGCTCAGATTGGGTTCTTGGCTCAGTGTCTGCTCTGGTCCAACCAGCTCTCCCCTCACCCAAGCATGGCCCCCAGGCTCACTTCCACGGCTGGCTATGCTGAGGGCAGGTTTTCTCCGCAAGGGTTGGACTTGAATCAGAGGTCAGAGGTCAGAGGTCAGAGGTCAGAGGGCAGATTACCATAGAATACTATAACTTTATTTTGCTTGGTCAGCACTGTCCTTTTGAAGACTTGGAGTTGGAAGGCTTTGAGGCAGGGCATGCTCTTTCCAGCTGACCACAGGCCTCACTGCTTCCCAGGGCTTACTTCCACCCTCTCCACACATTCTACACATGTATATGTGTTCATGTATATGTGTTTATTTATTCATTTATTTTTATTGATTTTATTTACTTATTTTTTTTATTCTCACCCGAGCACATTTTTCCATTTTTTGTTCAGATAGAGTGGGAGGGAGAGAGAGAGAGTGAGAGAGAAACATCGACGTGAAAGGGACACATCGAGTGGTTGCCACCCGCATGACCCAACCAGGGCCGGAGACAAACTGCAACCGAGGTACGTGCCCTTGCGGGAACCGGCAGGCTGACGCTCTAACCGCTGAGCCAAATCGGCCAGGGCTATTTTTTATTGATTTTAAAGAGAGGAAGAGAGCCTTGGATGGTTTGGCTCAGCAGTTAGAGCGTCGGCATGCAGTCCAGAGAGACCCGGGTTCGGTTCCCGCTAAGGGCACGTACCTCGGTTGCAGTTTGTCCCCGGCCCTGGTTGGGGTCGTGCGGGAGGCAGCCACTCAATGTGTCCCTTTCATGTAGATGTTTCTCTCTCTCCTTCCTACTCTATCTGAACAAAATATCGAAGAAAAAAAATGTCCTCGGATGAGGATAAAAAAATAATAATAATAAAATAAAATAACATAAAAATGATGTGTGCTAGGCAGACATCAGTCTACATTTAAATAAATAAATAAATAAATAAATAAATAAATAAATAAATAAATAGAGGAAGAGAGAGAGAGAAATACTGGTGTGAAAGAGAAACATCACTTGGCTGCCTCCTGCACCTGCCCTGACTGGGAATCGAACCCACAACCTTTTGGTGTATGGGTGGAAGCTCCAACCAACTGAACCACACCAGCCAGGGTGGGTTTTTTTGTTTTGTTTTTTTACCTTCTCCACACATTTAAGTTGCCTGCCTGCCCTGAGGCATTTGAGGCTGTGATGCCTCCTCATGATATTAACCCACCGCCTTCCTCTCCCACACTGACATTCGTCCTATGTGGCCAGACCCCTGCAAGTCATGGAAACTTCCACCAGCCTTCCACCGGTCCCTCCCTGCTCATGGCCACTCTTGCTTCCCCAGGCCCCAAAGGGACATTGACTGGTGATAGCAAGAGGGGGCCCTTTGTTTAAAACAGGTCAGATGGACAGTGGGAAAAGGGGTTGTGATCTCACGAAGGGGGAGCAGGGTAGGGGCCTTCAAAGGCAGGCAGGCCCTCAGACCCAGACATAATCCATCTCAGGGAATGAGGGAAGTTGTGTGATCTTTTTTTTTTCCCTCACCCGAGGATATTTTTCCATTTTTTGTACAGATAGAGTGGGAGGGAGAGAGAGGAAGGGAGAGAGAGAGAGAAACATCGACGTGAAGGGACACATCGAGTGGCTGCCACCCGCACGACCAACCAGGGCCGGGGACAAACTGCAACCGAGGTATGCGCCCTTAGCGGGAACCGAACCCGGGTCTCTCCAGACCGCAGGCCGACGCTCTAACTGCTGAGCCAAACTGGCCAGGGCGGAAGTTGTGTGATCTTAAAACCAAAAGGAATCACAGAGCCCCCCAGAGCCTAGAAAAGAGGTCAGAAGACTGGATTGAGATAAACCAGTTTTCATTATAAAAACAAAAATTAGACCACTGTTGTGATCCTAATCTTTGCCAAATAGATGGTCTAAAAATGGTCTGGGAGCAAATAACAGAGAATATGGACTCCAGTGAAGCAGCATCAATCCCCCAAGAACAATCCATTTATCCCACTTCCTCCTTTGACCAGGTCCCTAGGTGAGGAGGTCAGGATTTGATGGGCACTGTGAACCTAACTCCGAGCTGAGCAATGATCAGTGTCTCTCATGATTGTCTTGCAGCTAAAGTGGTTTAGAGCAGTGGTTCCAAAGCCACTGATAAAATTTTCACCAGATTGCAACAAAGTAAGAAAAAGGATACTGTTACATATCTGTATCACCCATTCACACACATGCATGCATGATGCATGGTGTTCTTGTTTCTAAAAGTTCATTATTCAAGCCTCACGATGACAAAGTTTCAGATTCAAGTTGATTATAAAAGTAAATAATACTAAATACTCTTTCCAGAGGGGTTCCTCAGGAGCAGTAAGGTTATGGACAGGATACCAGCCCTGAGTGTGGAGGAGATTAGGTGCTCTGCTCCCGCCCCTTTTTACCCTAGTCACGCTATCTGGTACTCCCTGGGGATCTATCCCACCTCCAGCCCCTGCTCCTGCCTTGGCTCAGAAACCCTTCCCCACCAGTACCACCCTAGTGTCTCCTCTCATCTCATGGGTTGTGCCATTGTCCTCAGGAGTGGGGGGGGGGGGTCAGGAGGATTCAGCCATTGAACCTTGGCCACCAGACTTAAGGGACGCCCCCCCCCCCCAGTCCCTTCCCTCTTGTGGACATCTGGACATACCCAAGAACTAGTCTCCCCCCCCCCTCTCACCTTGATTCCTATGGCCTCCAGGTCAGAAGCTTTCAGGACCTTCCCAGTTGCAAATATTTGATCCCACCATCCCAGGAGGTTGTATAGGACCAAGCTGAGAATGGTGCTACTCCCTCTCTCCCCAGGAAATGTGTCACCCTTTCTCTGCCCTGCCCCTCCCTGGGACAGGCAGACAAAACTTCCCACAAGCCCTGAGAGCTTTGCCAACCACAGGCATCCCGAGTGACCTTGACCCTCCATGCCTCTGTAGATGCTGTGGTCTCACACCCCTCAGCCCAAACCACTGCCTTTTTCTAGAGCTGATCCCACAAGTGGGGGGTGAGGGAGGCTCATTTCCTGACCAAGGGCCCCATTTGGGGTAGAGGAGAAATAGGCCTGGGGATGGCTGTCTTTCTCTGGCCACAGGCAGGGTCTAGGTAGGGCCTTTGGGCCAGCTTCTCCCTTACCCTCCATCTTGTTCCTAAATTCTGGGTTTGGTGACATCAGCCACCATTTATTGAGCACTGACTCTGCTAGGCACTCAAACAAATATCTTCTTTTAGTCCTCACCCAAGGACATTTTTGCATGTATCTTCAGATAGAGTGGGTGGGAGAGAGGGAGGAAGAGAGAGAGAGAAACATCAATGTGAGAGAGACGCATCAAGTGGTTGTCACCCACACGACCCCAACCAGGGCTGGGGACAAACCGCAACCGATGTACGTGCCCTTAGCAGGAACCGAACCCTGGACTCTCCTGTCCATGGGCCGACGCTCTCACCACTAAACCAAACTGGCCAGGGCACAAATGTCTTTCTTAATCTTCTTAACAACCCTGAGAGGCAGATATCATTATCCCATTTTACTGATGAGGAAGCTAAGCCTCGTAGAGATGAGATGGCCTAGGACCCCGAGCTGGTAAGTGGGAGCCTGGTGGAGGCCCAGGCCTGCCTGGCTGGGAGGCATGCTCCTGACCCCACTCGCCCTGCTTCCCCACCAGGCAGGTCACGAAGGCAGAGGGCGCAGCCTTGGCGGGCAGGTTCGGGTGCCTGTTTTTCGAGGTCTCTGCATGCCTGGACTTTGAGCACGTGCAACACGTCTTCCATGAGGCGGTGCGGGAGGCACGGCGGGAGCTGGAGAAGAACTCCCTGGCCCGGCCACTCTTCATCTCCGAGGAGAGGGCCCTGCCCCACCAGGCCCCACTCACTGCTCGTCACGGGCTGGCCAGCTGCACGTTCAACACACTTTCCACCGTCAGCCTGAAAGAGATGCCTGCCGTGGCCCAGGCCAAGTTGGTCACTGTGAAGTCATCCCGGGCCCAGAGTAAGCGCAAGGCACCCACCCTGACCCTACTGAAGGGCTTCAAGATCTTCTGAGGACCCCTGAGGATCCTAGGCTCAGAGGCTGTGCAGGGCTGCAGGATGGTGGCTGACTTCTGGCCACCGGCTTTCCCTCTGATGGAACAATAGCCTGCGCCCTCTGGTGGACAGCTGACCTCTGCTCCAGCGCCAAGCAGTGTCCCTGACACCCAGTTCAATGTGTGAGCCAGAGGAACAGGCAAGAATGCTGCTCCTATTCCATCCAGAGCCTTGGTTTCCATGGTAACCATTGCATTCCCTGACATTGAAGGAAAACAGCCACTGGGATAACCCAGACACCTGGGATCAGCCTTAAGCAGGAGGAAATAGCATCTATTGTGATATTACCCCTCCCTGCTCCAGCTACAGCCAAGCCAGATGTGGCCCCTAGTGGACAGCTCCAGGAGGCCTGGCCTAAGTGTTGGCCTGGGAACATCCTGCAGGAAGGACAGCCCCAAGGTCCTCGAGCCACCTGGTGGACGGAAGGGCAGGATGGGTGCAGGTTTTGGAGGGCCAGAGTCTGGCCCTCCCATTGTCTTCTGATCTCACAGAAGCCCCAGGCAGCAAACCCCCCAGTTTATCCAAATAATATCTAGTTTAAGCCTACAGGACATCCTATAAGAAGCAAAGTCGCAGGAGGGGCTATTTCCAGTCTTGGAGGGAGGGGCTGTGGTTTCCAGTGTAGGGGGCCTCTAGAATTGTTCAGCAGAAGGCAGGACCCCCTTATTTTCCCACCTTAAATTAAGGACTCCGTCCACAGTCAGGACCAGCCTCTTCAGTGTAACGGTCAAAGCTGCAGAACAAAGTCCTTCTCGCCAGTGACAGTGACTCAGGATTCCAGGGAGCCCACAGCGGGCAGATCAGACACCCAGGCACCATTAGCCTGTCTTGGGTCCATAGGTAGAAACAGTATCCCAGTTTGAACCCTGGTTCAGCAGGACTCAGTAATGGGTCTGAGTGTTTAAAGTCTTTGTACGATAGAACCTAAAGCATTTTGGTTCCTAAAGCAAATTTTTGCATAAATTATTTGGGGTTTCCCCCACAGCTTATACGACAACACTGTGACTCAGACATAGATCAGGATCCTCCCTCGGGATCCCATGGTTAGCAAGAGAAGGGTCTCAGAGGTAGGGCGTCCCCTAGGTTTCTAACTCTGTGTACCACGGGACCCCTGGCCCAGAGGAAGCCTTTCATGGACCCTCAGCAGATAAGCAGATAGAGGAGAGGGCTCTGGTGGGAGGAGGGGTGGGAGGGGGATTCCAAGCCAGAATCCTGCTCCTTTCCTGGCAGCAGTTCCAGGAGTTTGGCTGGAAAACAACAGCTCTAACCCAGCCCTCAGCCCAGTTTATGGAGATGGAGAAGCTGAGCTCAGAGAGAGGCTGTGAACTCCTCAAGACCACATGAGGAGTCCCGGCTTCCTGACCTGCAGGCTGGCTATGGATTATGCACTTTCGCTCCAAGCGTGTGTGTGGATCACCACCATTCGAACAAACTATGCAATTCCAACTGTCCATATTCAGAAGCATTTTAATAAAAAGATTTTTGTTTTTTTTCTTATAACAGAATTTCAGTCCGATGGCCAGTCTTTCATTTTCTCTGCGGTCTCGCTAGCTCTGGGGTTCTTATGAGCCTGGAAGAGAGACTGATGGCACATCCCTTTCTTTTAACTCAATTTCCACCTGGGGCAAATCTAGCTTTTCTGAGAGCAGAGTCTCTCTTAGCATGTTCACACTGTTGTCATCTTTGGTTCTGGTATCAGCCAAGTTTTCTGGAGTTTGTTTTTCCTGTGGCAGCATCTTTCGTTCCCTGGGAGGAAAGAAAACACTGTTGAACGTGAGTTCCCTGAGCTGGGGGTACTGAGCGGCTGGGGCAGGGCTGGGCTTCCCAGATGCGCTAGAGTTTGAAGGGGAAATCCAGGAGGCAGTTCTGGGGCTGGGGCTGGGGGGGGGGCAGAGAAAGCCCAGATGGTTTGAGGTTCTTTCAGCAGAGAAACAGCTTGTGCTGGCCTGCGCCTCTCCCCAAAGCCTCAGTGCCACCTGTGAGCTCAACCATTCCTGCTCCTCCTCACCTCGGAAATGGGGCTCAAAGAAACACATACCTGGGACATGCATTTAAGTCTCCTGACTCTTAGTCCTGCGTTTTCACCAAATCACATCCCCTCCTATCCCAGGGCTGTCGTCCTACTTAGTGCAGGTCCTTGTCACCCCACACCGCATTCCCAGACAAACTGCAGGAAATTCCTAACTAATCTTCCCGTCCCTCCAAACCAGCTTAAACACACCAGTCGTGTTTCTAAAGCCTCAGAGTGCACCCGTCACTCCCCAGCCCAAGCACCTTCAGTGGCTCCCCACAGCCCACTTCCTTAATTGGCATTCAAGATCCAGCCTTCCTCCCAGCAACTCCCCCTAATGTCCACCCCCTGAGATGGTTTTACTGAAGGTACACTTCCTGGTCATACTGAAGGGACGCAGCTGTAGTTAGAGCTGACTGCCCAGAGACTCTGCTTAGGCCATAGAGGGTGTCACTCCATTTCTGCTGCTCCCTTGGACAGACACCTTGTCCCTGAGTTGACCTTGCTGAGGGCGATGCTTCCTGACAGGGTGAGAGAGGCAAGGTCACCTTGGCGGCTATACCCCTCTGGGCCCTTCTATATCCTGCATGCAGAGTGGTCTTGCTACAGTCACATGAACCTTTCATGTCCTTGTGCAAAGTGCTTCTCTGAGCTAGAACCTGAACTCCTTAGGATGGCCCTCGGAGTGTGCACGCTCTGGCTCCTGCCGCCCCGTCCTCCCTCTCTCCCCTCCCCCAGCCCTCCTCACACCCCGCTGCGCTATAGCCAAACAAGCCCTCCCTCCCACCTGGAGCTCGGGGCATGCTATCCCTTGGTCTGAAAGGGTCCTGTAGCCCACCCTCCCTCTCTTTGCCCTGAAGGCCCCAGATCCCAGCTCTGTGCTCCCACAATACTCTGTATGTACCACAGTCATCATTTGTCACTTTGAACTACAATCATCTCCTCATCAAACTGTACATTCCGTAAGGCCGAGGCTGACTCGCTCTTGGCCCCCACCGAGGCCCCCACTCTCAGCACAGAGCGTGGCACAGAGCAGGAGCTCAGCTCCTATCTGTGGCCTGAGGGGAGAATGCGGCCACAGCAGTTCATCACGACCAGTTCTCAGTGTGAACTACGTGGGCTTCTTTTTGACTTTATAGCAGAACTGGGAGGAAGGTCATAGGTGACATAAAATAAGGCGCAGAAGGAAGAGCACAGGGTTAGGCCCACCCTTCCAGGAATCGCTGACGACCTTATTCTATACAACGGGAAGAAAAATCCTGTGTCTGCCCCACCTCACAGAGTGGCTTGAGGATCAAATAAGAGAATGTGAAGTAGCTTGTAAAGTTACAAAACATGACACAGATTTGAGGGAGAGAGTCTCATTATTGTGTCAGAGTTACTGATGGTGATGATGTATGGGTACACAGCAATTGTGAAGAAAGGAAGGGAGGGAGGGAGGGAGGAAGGAAAAAAGGAAGGAAGGGCGAACTAAGCATTCACTGAATGATTTCTAGGACTAGACCTTGTGCCAGTTGCTTGGGGAAACAAAGTTGAGTCAGATGTGGTCCCTGCCCGTAAGGATCTCTCAAACATTAGCCCTGGAATCATCCAGAGAATTTAACCCAATGCCACTGCACAGGTCTCACCCCAGACCATCTATGTCCGAATCTCCGAGGTGAGGCTTAGCAGTCTGTATGTTTAATATTGCTCCTCAGGTGACTTTGCTGTGTATCCAGGGTTAAGGAGTACTGTCATTATAAAGATGATAAAATTACCCCGGAACCTCAACTGACCTCCGGTCTCCATATGAGCCCTGCCTTTGGCCTGGGAGCAGGGCAAAGCTTTCCCCTTGAACACCATCCCTAACTCTGCAAGAGCCCCACTGAGGACTCCTCACAAGTAGCAGGTCATTACCACCGTTTATAGGAGAAACTGGTTTAGAGGTATTAAATGTGTTGCCCGCTAGTGAGTGACAGCTGGGATTTGAACCCAGGCTGGTGTGACTCCAGAGCCTGAGATCCTGATCTGAGACATACCAGCCCCTGCCCTGCTCACTGGCCAGGGCCAGCTGGTGGCAACTGGGAACAGTTGCTAGTTTTATAACAATTCTGGGTTCTCAGAAGACCCTGAAGGCTGTATTTTGCTGTCCCAAAGGGTGGACAACCAAGGCCCATAGATACCCTTCCCTAGGTTTCCCTTGGGAGGGCAGGGCCCCCACCTTCCAGAGGCCACCCCCAATCCAGCTCCTCACCTGTTTGCCTTGATGCTCCTTCCCAGGAGGACGATGCTTATCACGACAACCACACCCACTAGGGCAAAGATGGAAATATTCCAAGGAGTTGCTGGGGAGGGACACAAAGGGCAGAGACTTGAGGAGAAGCTAGGTGCCCCTCGGGCCCACTAACATTTGGGCTTTGGGCTCAGACACAGCTCACAGCATCAGTTGTCCCCTGCTGTGAACCAGGTGTAGGAAGACTCTAATGAAGGTGCAGATGAGCCCCCTGCCCTGTGGGAACTCCAGTGTGGGGAGGGGAGTGGGAGATGCTCTCTGCCTTAGAGCAGCCCTAACCTAGTTGGGGACAGCACGGCAGATGGATGATAGGGGGTGAAGGTGGGGTGGGTTAAGATAAACTTCACGATCATCAGAGTTTTGCCAGGAACTGGCGGCCTTGGGCAGTGCAAGGAAAGGAAGGAAGGAAGAGAAGGAGGGAACAAGAAGAGAGGGAGGGATGGAGGGAGAAAAGGAAGGAAGGAAAGAGGGAGAGAGGAAGGAAGGGGTGGCAGTAAAAATGGATTTAAGATCTGTCCACAGATAATACATAATGTAACTAATCTGAATTTGGATAACCAAGACTTGTCCACCCTGTACTAAAATGAGGCAGGATGCAGCCTCGGAGCTTTTGCACTGGCTGTTCCCTCTACCAGGAATGTTCTTCCCCCACATAGCCTGCACAGCTAACTCCTTCACCTCCTGCAGGCCTTTGTTCAAATGCCACCTTCTTAGTGAGGCTTCATGACCGCACTGCCTACCCTTGTGCATACTTCCTAGTCCCTTTCTCTGCTTCATTTTTCTCCTTATTTTTTCTCTTAGCCCTGGAATCATCCAGAGAGTTTTAAAAAAATGCCACCGCCCAACTCATCACCAACACACTGTGCATTTCGGTTGTTTATTTTCTATCTCTTCCACTAAAACATATGCTTCGTGAAGGCAGAGATGTTTGTGTTGTATTCACTACTGTAACCCCAGTGCTGAAAACCGTGCCTGGCACACAGAGGGAACTTAAGTATTTATGAATGATTGGATGGATGAGTAAAGAATGACCAAGCCATGAGAAAAGGAAGGTGAGGTTCAGCCACACCCTTCTGGGTACTGAGACCCCTCAGCCTCCTGTGGAGGAAGGGACCGTGTTGAGGGCTTCACCCAGAGTCCAGTTGTGGTTTGTGTTTTGTGTTAAGAGCACACACCCCCACACCAGTCCCCCGCCACTTACCATCTTCTACCCGGAAGAACCAAAGCATTTCTTCCAGCAGCTCCTGAGGCACCACAGTGCCAGCTGGGACTTGGGTCACCCCCGCACCGTGGTGCATGTCCTGCTCCTGGTTGGGGAATTTTCTGACAATGAAGTCCTTGGGCGCCTTCGGCCTCTCAGCTGCCCTCTTGGCCTCCTAGGGGCTGGGCCCTGAGCAAAGCCCTGTGGACCCCTGGAAACAAAGCAGAGGGCATGACCCATCGCCCACCCTAGTTTGAGTTCCCTTTTCTGCCCAAACCCAATTCTCCTCTGGCCTGAAGTTACAGAACCAGAGCATCCTGACTCCAGAGCAGTGGGGCCTGGAGAGGCAGAGACCATGGACTTGGGAGTCACTCAAATTTTTATTAAAACCCATCATGTGGCCCTGGCCGGTTTGGCTCAGCAGTTAGAGCGTCGGCCTGCAGTCCGGAGAGACCCGGGTTCAGTTCCCGCTAAAGGCACGTACCTCGGTTGCAGTTTGTCCCCGGCCCTGGTTGGTCGGTCGTGTGGGTGGCAGCCACTCGATGTGTCCCTTTCACGTCGATGTTTCTCTCTCTCTCTCTAGCGCTCGCTCTCTCACTCCCCCCCCCCCCCTCTCTCTCCCTCCCACTCTATCTGTACAAAAATTGGAAAAATGTCCTCGGGTGAGGATAAAAAAAAAAACAAAACCCATCATGTGTGGGGAAGAGCACCGACCTGGAGTGAGGAGGACTAAGCCACTGATGGGCTGTGGGACCCTTGCGGGGAACATCGCCCGTTTCTGCCTGCTCAGCATCCCCATCCAGCTTCTACAGCCCACAGCTCCCCTTCACCCTGGTTTCTGAGCAAACTGTCCCATCCCTTGCCATGCATTTTATGTGATAGCCAACCATAGGACCCACGTGACAAAGGTTGGGCCTATCACGGTCTCTCATCTGGAGATTGGCATGCCTGCAACCCAGAGCTGAGAAGAGAAAGTGCCAGAAAAGAGTCGCTGTCAGCTGGTGCTGCTGAGAGCTGAGGGCTCCCTTTCCTCAGCTCCCAGCCCGGGGCCTGATTGGCCAGTGCTGCTCTCAGCTCGGCAGCCCCCCGACACTTCTTTTTCACCCTGGACATGCTATCAGAATTGTTTTCTGTCGTTTGCAATGGAAGGACCTGAATCCATGCCCCCTGGCTAAATCCAGTCATGAAATTCAGCCTGTTTCCATCCCCACAAAACAAAGCAGGTTAAGCAGTCCGTGTTCACTAAGTCAGATGTTGAATCCTAGTAATCAAAAATAATAAACAATTCCAATTTTGGATGTTGACATGAGGCCACATCACTACATCAAGGGATCAAGAACAGAAATTCCTTAGAGACCTGTGTACACATGGGAACGTAATACATAATGAAGGTAACTCTACTAACTGGTAGGGAAAGAGGAATCACTTAGTAGGAGGTGTCAGGAAGACTGGCTGGCATGGAAGAAGGAAGACCGGATGCACGCCTAACAAACAGCACATACAAGAACAAAATCCAAAATTAAAGATTTAGATGTAAGAGGAAAAAATAAAAAGTTAATAAAAATGGGGTAAAACTTTTCTTTTTAAATTTTTTTTTTTTATTGATTTTTAGAGAGAGAAGAATGGAGAAGGAGAGAGAGATAGGAACATCGATGAGCCCTGGCCGGTTCGGCTCAGCGGTTAGATAGAGCGTTGGCCTGTGGACCAGAGAGTCCCGGGTTCAGTTCCCGCTAGGGGCACGTAGCAAAAAAAAGAAAGAAAGAAAGAAAAAAAGACACATCGATGAGAGAGAACATTGATTGGCTGCCTCCTGCATGTCTCACACTGGGGATCAGGCCCACAACCTGAGCATGTGCCCTGACCAGGAAGTGAACCAGTGACCTCGGTGCATGGGTTGATGTTCCCCATGGGCAGGCATAAAACTTTTTAAATAAAACCAATAAACGCTCAAATCATTCAATGACAACTAGAAACTGATTAATTTGATTATATCAACAATAAGATTATCTGTATAATGAAGAATACCATCAATAAAGTAACTAACCCTTTCTGATTGGGATAAGATGTGCAGTGCTTAAAACCAGGAAGTGGGTGATATCTAGGATACACAAAGAATTCTTGCAAATTAACAAGAAAAAGACAGGAACTCTAGTGAATGGGTAAAGGATCTAAACCCACAATTTACAAAATAGGAAACTCAAAAGGCTGGCAAATACATGGGAAAAAATGCTCAAACTCTATGGTAATCAGAAGAATGAGAATTAAAAATAAAGTACTACTTGACCTGTATTAGATCATTATAGTTTGAAAGGTGAATAATGGTGTGTGTTTGGGAGGCTCTGGGCCATAGCTTTATACACTGACAGGAGGAGTGTGTGTGTGTGTGTGTGTGTGTGTGTGTGTATACATTTTAATGCCATACCATTTATGAAAATGCAAAATATATGTGCATAAAACAACAAAACATATTTTACAAAACACACTTAAAAAAAGACACACTTGAAACACATTAGGATAGTTCTCTCTGGGGGAAGAAGAAAAAGGGAACAAGAAGGGAGATAAAAGTAACTAAAGAAATAAAACAGGTCCTGGCCAGTTTGACTCAGCAGTTAGAGCGTCAGCCTGCGGTCCAGAGAGACCCAGGTTCAGTTCCCGCTAAGGGCAAGTACCTCGGTTGCAGTTTGTCCCCAGCCCCAGTTGGGGTCGTGTGGGTGGCAGCCACTTGATGTGTCTCTTTCACGTCGATGTTTCTCTCTCTCTCTTCCTCCCTCTCTCCCTCCTGCTCTGTCTGAGGATAAATGCAAAAATGTCCTTGGGTGAGGAAATAAATAAATAAATAAATAAAACTGGAGAAAGGTTCTGAAGAGACCAGACATGAAAACATGTCATAGGGCACATGTCATGCGGCTAACAACAACAACAAAAGGGTTCCCCATACGATCTCAAGCCCCCTACTCCGACCCTGCCTTCCAAAATAGCCTTTAGAGGCCCAGACAGGAACGTTAAAAAACAACTGGATGAGCCCGGCCGGTGTGGCTCAGTGGTTGAGCGTCAACCCATGCACCAAGAGGTTGCCAGTTCAATTCCCGGTCAGGGCACATGCCCAGGATGTGGGCCCGATCCCCAGTGGGGGGCAGGCAGGAGGCAGCCAATCCATGTTCTCTCTCATCGATGTTTCTATCTCTCTTCTTCTCCCTTCCTCTCTCTCTCTCTAACATCAATAAAGAAAAAACAACAACTGGATGGCAGACAGCCAGAGCCCTAAAATAAGGACTTGATTGACATCAGTGTTTTCTTAAACTCTAAATACTCTGAGAAAACGGAAGAAACATCTACAGGTTTTCAAGGGAAATATTTTGACAAAAATATAATACTGAGCTAAGCTTTTCATATGTGAAAGAGCATTCACATGTCAAGGTAGAGATGGAATCCAGAGAAAGACCTTGTTTAGACTTCCAAAGGCTCAGAGGCATACTATCTACGTACCCTTTGGAGGGATATATGTATATATGCTAAATAATGGTAAGACAAAGTTATAGGAATAGCTAATCAATGTGATCTTGTTGCCAGCTCCAACTGTCTGTCCAGACCACTTGCTAAGAAGGATTGTGACTTTCTGTCCAATCTCAGCAGTAGAAGTGCCTGGATGAATTAGTAACATTTCCCATAGTCCCCTGTTGCATATGTAGACCTCTCACGCCCACAGAGAAAAGAGTGTGAAGGTCGAGAAACCAAACACTGACTCCCTCTGGGGAGGTGGAACCGGGCCCAGACACATGAGAACACTGTGAATACTTCTGTATGTATACATTTCTCACGAGCACACACTACCTTCATGAAAACAATACATGGAATTATTATATATTTTAAATGTATATATTTCTGTATGTATATTTTAAATATATTTTTATATATTTATATGTATTTTTTTTTTTTTAAATCCTCACCCGAGGACATTTTTTTTCATTTTTTGTTCAGATAGAGTGGGAGGGGGAGAGAAGAAGAGAGAGAGAGAAACATCAACGTGAAAGGGACACATCAAGTGGCTGCTACCCACACGACCAACCAGGGCCGGGGACAACTGCAACCGAGGTACATGCCCTTAGCGGGAACCGAACCCGGGTCTCTCTGTACCGCAGGCCGATGCGCTAACCGCTGAGCCAAACCGGCCAGGGCTATATATTTATATGTATTTTTAAATGTATGTATATATTGTATTTATACCTTTTGAGACAACAATTCCAATTTTGGATGTTTAATTAATCAAACTAAAAGATGTCAATTCTTCCCAACTTGACCTATGGATTCAATGCAATCCCAGTCAAAATCTCAGCTGGTTATTTTATGGATATCAACAAAATGATTCTCAAGATTATATGGTGAGGCAAAAGACCCAGAATAGTCAGCATGATATTGAAGAACAAAGTCAGAGGGCTGGTGCTACCTGACTTCAAGACTTACTATAAAACTACAGTCAAGACAGTGTGGTATTGGAACTAATCTGATAAGGGTACAAACTTGCATGTGGGCTGATTCCACATTGGAATGTGTGTTTTAAATATGGTAATATCATTATAATAAACATATACCATCAAACAAGAAGAAAACAAAAGGACAAGCTGGATACAAGTCTAGAACTGAGAGTCAGCTCTCCCAGACTATTAGCACAGAAACAAAGACATTTCCTTCAGAACACTTAACCAGTTTCCTTGTAGAGTGAGCATCATATTAATATCCCTGCTTTTTAAAAATTTTTAACTAAATTTCATGATTTAATTGGATTTTATTTTTCCATGAATGTCTTTTCCTTGTTCCAGGATCCCATCCAGGATATCACATTGCATTTAGCTGTCCTGTCCCCTTAGGGCCCTCTGGGAGATTCCTGCATTTTGAACAGAGCTTAACCATCCACCACTGGACTGTGATTCCTATTAAAGGCCCAGGCCACCCATCCCCATGGGAGGGTGAAGACACTCACCCTGGATCCTAGGTTCCTGCGACCTGCCTTGATCTGCTGTTGGGAGCAGCACTGATTTCTATGTCTTCTTCCTCCTCCTCTCACAGGAGCACTGAATGGTCTTTGCACCTGAGCTCTCCACACGGCTGTCCCCCGGGGTAGTGCTCAGAGCCTGTGGCAGCCCAGCCCATCAGGTAGCTCTGCTCTTAGCACACGCCCAGTCCTGGAGTCTTCTCTGCTACTCTGGGGTGAAT